TAGAGAAATAGGTACGTAAAAATAGAGAAGGTAACCATTTTTAGTAATTGTTATTCTCTAGAAACATATATTCTATAAAAATACTTGAAATTTGTCTTTGAAATGAAGAGCTATAAATTAAAAATGTTTGTTTTATCTTTTATATACCGGGTGCGTCTCGAAAGTGGCTTACCCTTACAACCTTTTTTTATTTTTTTCAGATAAAAAAACGAGATTTTGGTATGTTGGTTTGGTTGACATATAGTATATGACATAAATTAGAATTGATTGACGAATTCAATTGTTTTTGGTCACTTCCTGCTTCATCGGAAGTGGCTACAACTTTTGATTTTTAAACGCACGACTCTGAAGGAGGAGTAGTGTTGCCAGCAGGCGGATGAAACTGCCATTTGAATTTTGGAAACACTGCGGAGTTTCTGCCAGTAGAGGGATAGATGGCGCTGCGTAGAAATTTTATCTAAAGTCCCTAGATATTCATCTAGGGACTTTAATTTCATCATGATTTTATCAAGTCATCCACAGAGTATAGTTTAATTAACAATTCGTTTCATTCTCTGTGGAGTAATTGGAGTAGTTGGAGTAGTTGAAAAATATAAATATTTATATAAAATGTTGATAATTTAACAGTGATGTGCTTTGTTACCCTATGAATAAACATTGATATGAAGTTGCTTTCGCCAGAAACAACTATAATTAAATAATTTAATAAAAATTTAATTTCTAAGTGACCCGGATCAGTTAGACCAGTAAAATAAATTGAAAAATAAACGTCATTCCATATTTGGCAATGTCTGTCAGTTTCTGTGAAGTGGAAGTGAATTGTGATTTGTTTTTATGGGAATATTTTACGGATTTTTGCGAATTTAGAGTATTTTGGACGATAGGATTGTGAAATTTAAAAGCCAAGTAGTTTAATATATAAGATTAATTAATCCCTGTGATAATTTTTATGAAATTTCTCATAATCAAAACAAATTCTTTCAACAAAATGGCTGTCTCAGAAATTTGGAAGATCATTAATTTTAAAGTTTTATTTAAGTGTATTTATATCGAATCAAGAATTTGTATAACATATTAAAAGCTTAATTTTAAAGGTTGTGCAGTAATTTATGTAAGTGTACGCTTTTAGATAAATATTAAATATACAAATTTGCAAAGACAAACAAGTAATTTTAAAAAGATCATTTATTTATTTAAACGAGTATAATCATTAATCATTAGGTTGAAAATATATTTGTATTTACTTATTTATATATTTTCTATACCCTTGTATTATTTATAAGCCCTATATGTCCTGTTTTATTTGAAAAAAAAATGCTTCGAGTCATCGAGAATAGATTTAATAACAATTTTGTCCCTTGGCTTTGTGTATTATATAATGTGAATTGTAAGATGTTTCTATTTGAATAGGTCATTAAAGTTGAGATTAAAGTTATACCAAATTATATTCACGGTAACTATATGTCTTTTATATAATGAATTATTTATTTATAATTTATAACCTTTTTTATAATTACTTATAACTGATTGTATAAATTCTGATAACTTTTATATATACTTGTATAGTGTTGAATGTGTTATATGTAATTTTATTAACAATGTTATAATAAAATAATCAAGTTACAAATTTTTCGTGTTTTATTCTAATTTCAGGGATAATTTCAACCTAGATTATTAATTTATTTGTATCAAAATACATTATTTTTATTTTGTAAAATGTTTTGTTACAAATAAGTTCATAATCTAGATTGAAATTACCAAATATAAGTAAAAAACTTATGAACTGGCAGTAAAGGTCCATTTAAAAATATGGCGCGAACTTTTAGTTCTGCCAGTAGCCCGCTTGGATCGCGTCGAGCGCGTGTTTCCAGGCTTTAACATAAGAGTTTTCATTTCTTTCAGTTAGTTATTCTATGGTTGCCAGTATCGCATTGAGTGACTCTTAAACATTTTTTTAAAAATCTTAAATATTTTTTTTATAATAACTAGCGTGTACCCGCGACTTCGTTCGCGTGGAATTAATCATTTGCAATGGTGATGATAAAGCAAGGCAAGAATTTCCATTATCATACAAACTGGATAAAATATTCTCACATTCATGTCAGCATGAGAAAAAACAATCGAAAAACCCCTCCTTATCGAACCTCTACACCCCACAGTCAATCCGTTTGCCAAAAATCAGCTGCTGCAACGTCAAGCAGTTTAAGCAGAATCGTGATTACTCAATGGTCATATTTTATAAAACACCCTGTATAATTTTTTAAAAAATCTTGAAATATGTAAAACAACAAAATAAAATATACGTGTTTAAGAGTTTTTCCGAAAAACTCACCGGTTTTTAAATAAAAAATATTCAATATTTGAGGGGTGGTTTCGCCCCCTTAGAATGCGAGTTTCGAAAAATCCCTTCTTATCGAACCTCCACACCCTAAAGTCAATTCGTTTTTCAAAAATCACCTTTTTACGTCAAGCGCTTTAAGCAGGACCGTGATTAATCAATGACCAGATTTTTCAAAACACTCTGCATACATTTTTAAAAAATCTTAAAATATGTAAAAATAAAACAAAATAAAATATACGTGTTTAAGCGTTTTTTTCGGAAATTTGACCGTTTTTTAAATAAAATATATTGTAATATTTGAGGGGTGGTTTCAACCCCTTGGAACTCGAATTTCGAAAAATCCCTTCTTATCGAACCTCTACACCACACCCTATAATTAACCTGTATGTCAAAATTAAGCTTCTTACGTTGTAGATTATTAATTGACGGGATATTTTGTGGAACTGACAGAAATGATTTCTGAATTAATATTTCAAAAAATGACAATTACAACATGGCCACCAAGCGATAATCACTTAAATGATTATCACTTATTAATCACATTCTTTGTATAGGAAAAATATACATAGAGTTGTATAATCAAAATTAGCTGAAATTTTATTTGAAATGAGGAATTATACCAAAACTGTTCTATTTAAATGCATGCTTCATATTGAAAACATATTTCTAGTGTTGATAGGCGTCAATTTCTTATAGGTCTGAATCGCAGACATCGATTTTACCATATTAAGAAACATGATGGCAAATCATTACCATCATATAAGGCACTCAGACCTTTTAAATATCATTGATTCTCTACATTTGGATCTAATTAGTTATCTAGTTGTTATCTAGCATTAAAATAAGCCCATACCTACATAGAGGTTATTCATTAATTTCTCTAAAAATAGATTAATTCTATATACATATATATGGTTAAATCTTGGACACCTAATATTAACTATCATGGATAAGTAAAAAAGTAAAGTCGCATCATTTTTCTTGAAAATATATCAGCCAGATTAAATTATGTCGCCGTTTCTATCTTTGACGTTGACTTGACTGATTTTTTTTCTTTTGTGTACATGCTACCGTATGATTGAAAAAAACGGCGTCACTGCATAAAATAATATACAGGATGACAAACTATTTTATATTAGAAGAAAGTTTGGTGTAGAATTTTGAACACCCTGTATATTTTACAGTAAAGGTATGTAAGCAACCTGAACCTATTTGAACACCCTGTGTGGTTAAAGCAAAGTAAGTAAATACCATCATAAACATCTGTAATATGATAATTTTGGTTTCAGGACATTTCTATTTTTTTTTAATAATTTTTTAAAAAAGGCTGAAAAAAATATTTTTTATATTAATATTTCTGAAACTATCAAAACGTATTTAATAATATCGTAGGATTATGTAAAGTGATCAGAAATGAAGCCAAAAATGTAATAATATACAGGGTTTTCCGTTTAAACAAAATCTTTTTAAATCCTAATACATACCTACTTTAGGTTGGCACATATAAGTTAATCCTAAGTTTTTTACTATAGGAGCTACAGATGCCCAACGCACTATTGCCGGACCCTGTATGCATATTGATCAGAAATTCAAAAAGCTCCATATTTTGTCAAATTTGTCAACGCATCAAAAAGATGAAATTCATGTCTAATATCGTCTTGCTTTTAGATGAGGTTTTGCTATACCGGGTGCGTCTCGAAAGTGTCTCACCCCTATAACTTTTTATTTTTTCAGATAAAAAACGAGATTTTATACTAACATACCATATGACATAAATTAAGATTGATTGACGAATTCAATTCTTTTTAATCATTTCCGGTTTCACCGGAAATGACTACAAGTTTTTATTTTTAAATGGCACCTTCGGTATTTTTTACTTTATTCAATAGAAAATGACTCTTTGAATATAATGACATATCCTATGTCAACTTTTGACATTTTTGCTTAAAAAAATCGTGTTTTAAATTTCAATCTGGTGTTCTATGGCTGTATTAAAACACTAATTTTTAATCAAGAAGCCTTAGAAAACTAGTTTTAATCGTCTAATGATTTTGGTGTCTTGTACTGACCTGTTAAAGAACGCCCAAGTCGTATTTTTAATCATATCTCAATTTTTTCAAATGGAACGAGGGTGGCTTTAGCATATTTGGAAAAAGCTATTTTTTGCGAATAATTTGGTACCACACACTTGGTATTTCGAGTCAAGTTGTAGTTATGAACCGCATATTACAATTTCAAATAAACCATATGCGAACATGCCAAAACTTCACATATGATATGTCATTCTATTGAGAGTGACATTTTCTATCGAATAAAGTAGAAATATACCGAGGGTGCCATTTAAAAATCAAAAGTTGTAGTAATTTTCAGTGAAACAGGAAGTGACCAAAAACAATTGAATACAATTCATTCAATCCTATTTTATGTTATATACTGACATACCAAATCTCATTTTTTTATATGAAAAAATAAAAAAGTTATAGGGGTGAGCCACTTTTGAGACGCACCCAGTATAGTTCACAGAGAGAAAGATAGATGTATACCTTAATGTTGTGCTAGAGAGAAATAGGTACATAAATATACGTCCTACTCATAGAAACAAAGTTGTGTGTAATAATTTATGACATAATTATATCATAAATATGATTTTTTGTTTCAGAAAATGTAGGACGAGTTGGGTGGATAAAAATCGATCAAGATGGCGACCCCGGGAGTTTCTTTGCCCTTAATTTCGATAGCTACACCCTCGAGGGACTCCTTGACCTATACAACGACGAAAGGCCTCCTTAATGGACCAGGACAAAACAACTGCTTTTTGAACAGTGCAGTTCAGGTATGATTTTACCTATGTATAGTTTGTATAGTTTTAATGCTATAAAGAAAGGATTGGTTGACAGTCGTAAAAATGATATATAAATTCCAAAAAAAAATATCTTCGGAAATAATGGGATTTTTGTAGTTTTCGAAACACGACGTTTGGTTTGGTTTGGTTTGGAATGCACACTGCATTCACTAACTAATAGAATCATATCAATTCTCTCTGATGTAGAATAAGTTTGCATTTTCGGCAAGTTTCTGAGATTTTTTTTTTAACTGGCACAAAATGATAACTAGTTGTTAAAGTTGGACTAATTAGACAGCTATGTTGAAGTAACGTCAGACATATCACAACCACCCTAGATTTTATCAAGTAATAAAGATCCACTCAGATCAAATCATGTAAATGAAAATATCTAGGAAAATCTTTGTTTGACGGGTAGGCAACCTTAATAGTATTTTGAAGAGATATGAATACTTCATTGAATATCGGTATAATATACTGGGTGTTCCATTTAAAATAAAAGAGTAACATGCTTTTAAAGGTGACCAATGTTCAATATTAATTTTGTCTCACCCTGTATAACTTTTTGTATCAAGTTTTAATTTGATTTAAAGTACAATAGTTAATTTAACTATATATTAGGCTATACCGGGTAAATTCCAATTTAGGTAGCTTTTATTGTAATTTAAAAATTGTTCTTTATTTCTAGAAAATGTTAAATATATCAAAAACCTTACATTTTAGTCATATATAGTATATATATATATTGTTAGTCTCTTATAAAACTTATAGAAAGAACCCAGAATCCGAAAATCAATTAATATATAGGGTGTTCCATTACAAAAAACACAACTTTGATATGTAACTTTTTTTGGGGACACCCTGTAGAGCTCGCTATATTTTTAAAATTTGCTCTGAATTAACCTACATATTTTGCTCACAAAATTGCATTTCAATACAAACTGTCGTTCTCCTTGGAGCCTCCGCGGCGTATGAGGGGCGCCACCCTGTATATTAGACAAAGTAATCTAAATTTTTCGATTCCATTTTTGTTTTATTTTTTAAAAGTATACTCATACAATATAAATTAAATTAATTTTAATTTTATAGTGATATCTATAATTTCCATATTGACAATTTTAATTTTTCACAATTAATTACACCAACAGGTATTTAAAGACAAAAGGAAGATGTTTTTACTACAAAAGAAGATATAACCTAAATATGAACCTCTCCAAAATTATTTATTGAAATTGTTGTTTTTTTGCACAAAAACTCGAAACATAAGATTCTACATTAACATTATTACTTATTCAAATTAGGCACTCAAAAGAATTTTATCAATAGTCGAACTCGTAAATGTTTAAAAAATGCTAATGTTTCCCAGAATTTTTTTAGGAAGATTTTTCTTAATCGTGCCTTAAGGCTATCATCTAATGGCTTGACAGATGCGGTCATAATCATTTATCTACATAGCAATATAACAGCGATCTTTAAACCATTTCTTGTTATTCTTATAATAAATGAAAGTTAGTTATATTTTTTAAGTTTAATCATAAAGAAACAATCCACGACAAATGGAAACAATGGATGAGAAAAGAAAAGGCAGTTTTAATTAATTCCGTGATTATATTATGGTGTGATGGGAAATAATATGGACCCACTGTAAAAACAAGAAGAAAACTTATGAGAAATGGATTCTGTTAGATGTTTCTAAATTTCTATGTATTTCGCAAATTCAAACAGAATAATTTAGTATTTTGTAACAGAGAATATCTTTGTAAGATATTCCTGTTTAATAGTTGGTATTTATTTTAAAAACTTACTATACTGTATTTGTTCTGTATTTTCTACCGTTTTTAATGGATTTAAAACTACTAGTACTATCGTTTTACTACAGACAAAGCAAAGTACTTCAAGGTGAAATCAGCGTGAAAAATGTAGGTTCCTTATTTTTCTGTTAGCACCTAGGTATTGAAATTATTATACTCTTTGAATGATTTATATTCTATTTCAAAATGGCTTTCTTGACATTTGTTTGTAATTTTACGACACATAGTAAGAGTTATAAATTTAGATTTAAAGTTTAAACTTATACAGGGTTATATTACAGAGAAAAACAGAAATAACAGTGATCTAAGAGCCTAAAAATACTTGTAAAATGAACAGTATATTAAAGTGGAATATTTCAATATTGTTATTCAAATTTAGATACAATAATTTATTTAAAACTAATAATTTGGCCCAACCCATTCATTATTTAAATAAATTATGCGTTCCTCAATTTAGCAATCGAATATAATCATAAAAATAACGGAGACTGTTCAGGCTTGAATTGAGTTGTCAATAGATTCATAAGTCTAGCTTTTTCTTGTTTTGATCACACCGGTTATGTGAATATTAATGTATTATTTAGGCACAGAGAACATGAAGTTGAAGCAGATTCAAATGCTCTTTCAAACTATATTAGGGTTTCCTATACCTATCTAGCTCAGATTTTGAATGAAGAGCAATTTTTCAATAAATTGGCAACCAAGAGGGCTAATGTCGTCATGCCAGTTCTAGTGCTAATGTTCAAAATCGAAATTAGTTTATGGACTTTATTTAAATTTATACCAGTTTACTTTTATTTAATTTACCTATAATAGTTTATTAAATAATATTTATTAAATATGTATTTATTATTCTATCAAGAAAAACGAAGAAGTAGGTAGTTATTTTACGATGACTTCTAGATATGTGGATTTTCTATAAAAAACAATTACTGCAAATTCATTTTCTTCACTTTTATCGACAGGTTTCTGCCTAATAGAGTTTTTATAAACCACACTACCAGCTCTGCGAAATAGGACTAGTAGTTTTTCAAAGGAATGCTTATCAGGAAGATTCCTATTTGGTTAGCTTTGCCATTGAGGCCAAGAAGAAATTTTTCTCAAAAATAAAATCACTAGTAGTGGAAAAGTCAAATGTTTGTTAAATTTTTCTACTAATTTTGACATTCTGAAATCTTACATTGAAATTAAAGGAACAAACTTCTGCACTAATTGAAACCACTAATTTATTTTCGACGTTCTCAATGAAGCTTAATTTTCACTTAGTGTAAGTAGTATCGTACCTACGTCGATATAAAAAATAAATCTAATATTTACGTGAGGAAACTCCCCTCGAGAGATGGCACATGTTTTTTGAAACACCCTGTATGATTTTTCTAATCTTCGAATGTACAAAATAGCGAAATTATATTTCTGAAAAGTTCATAGATCGAACTCTAATATTTGGGACAAGTTTGATCAATAAAATTTTATTTCAAGCAATTTAAAATTCAAATCAAGACGAGTCCAAGGCTCGTGCTATCGTGCAAAGGTCCTGATAAATACGTCCAGCGGGAATTTGCAGGATTATAATTCCTACTACTTGAAACTAGTCGTTAAGACGTCACAGATTGGCTCTAAAAATCTCAAACCGCCATTAAAAAATAATTATTTCCTTCTATGGCATGCGCCTCCATCCTCTATTACGTCTGTTGCTCGACGTAATTAAAACCGAGAGAAGTGTAATCTAGCTTTAGAATAATAAGCACAAAAGGAGCAAAACAAAGATTATGGATGGGTTTGAAGAAAACGATGATGAGTACGTTTCATCTGAAAGAAGCATCATCAGCGGGCTCATGAATATCAAACAGATTAAATTCTTGATGGTGAGTAACAAGGAAATATATTTTATGTATCTATTTACTGTCATTAGTGATGGACTTGTGTGTTAAAATTATTTTTAATAATAAGTCTGTGTATATACAGGGTAGTACTAGTTCAGCTTGTTTTAAACATATCTAGAAAACAGCAATACAGGGTAGCGGTTCTCATACGACGCGGAGGCTCCATGGAGAACGGTAGTTTATAAGGTTTATTGAAATCATTTTATAAAAATATAAAGACTTATACAGCGTGCCCCCAAAAAAAGTTACACATCAAAGTTGTGTTTTTTGTAAAGGAACACCCTATATATCAATTGATTTTCGGATTCTAGGAAAAAAATAAAAGTGTGTTTTATTAAAGAAGCATATGCCTAAAATGTAAGAATTTTGACATATTTCACATTGTGTGAAAATGAAGCACAAATTTTAAATTTCAATAACAGCTACCTAAATTTTAATTTACCCTGTATAGCCTGATATTTAATTACAATAACAATTGTATGTCAAACCAAATTAAAATTAGACCCGAAAACTTATACAGGGACAAGACAAAATTAATGTTCAACGTTGATCACATTTAAAAGCAAGTTACTTCTTTATTTTAATTAGAACACCCGGTATATTATAAGGGTGTTCAATTAAGAATTCATATATCTTCAAAATATTAAATAAGGTTGCCATCTTTTCAGGCAAAGATTTTCCTAGATATTTTGATTTTTATGATTTTAAGATCTAGATGATTGTGGAAACACATTTTGTTAATAAAACAAAAAATAAAGAACGTAGACTAAAGAAAATACTCTACTACGGTAATAAAAAGATACACGTTTAAAACATTTTTTAATTCTTACAGAATTAAATCTAGATATAAACGTATAATTATGTGACAAAAATTAGCTAGAGGAAATCAAATGCTCAAAATGCTTACTTTCCTGTTCACTACATAAAATGATTTTCTTTTCAAAAGATCTTTTCATGTTAAAAGTCATATGTAGAGTTCTATTTCGAAAAGCAGCTCCAATAATTTCTCTCATATTATTGGACAATAGTTGGTCGAGTTCCGAACACTGTCTTTAACATATCCCATATAATATATATAAAAAGCCCAGACTAGATAAAATCAGGAGAATTTAAGTATTCTATTAATTAGTGAATGCACATTGCCATTCATCAACTAGTAGAATCATATCAATTCTCTCTGATGTAGGATAAGTTTCTATTTCCTGAGAATGTCCGAGAATTTTTTTAACTGACACAAAATGATAACTTGTTAATCAGTTGAACTAGTTAGACAGCAATGTTGAAGTAACGTCAGAAG